GCTGGCACTGCCCAGGCACAGGCCATACCCCCAATGCAGAGGAAAGCAAAATGCCCCCAGTCTGCACCAATCTGACCAGGGGAAAATTCATTCCTGACCCCAATGCAGCATCAGTCTGACCCTGTAGCCAGGACCCTCCAGGGGTGAGAATCTCAGCAGGAGCACATCCCCGACCGGTGGCTGACCAACCTCTTCTTGAACACCTCCAGTGTTGGAGAGTTCACAGCTTCCCTGGGTGTCTGTTCCACTGCCCCCTGCTCTAATTGGGAGTCGGTAACAGCAGCCTCCCAGGCGCTGCTGGTTTTCTCCCTCGGCTCTTGGGGGAGAAAAAGAAAAAAAAAAAAAAAAGTAAAAGCAGAAACCTCCCATCACACGCTTCTCCCCCGGTCCTTGGAGGAGAAAAAATTAAAAAAAAAAAAATACAGGCTCCGGTCCCTGTTCCTCTCAACCCTCCCCCACCCACCTTCCAGCACAGTGTCTGTGCACCATTCCCATCAGCCTGGCTAGGCTGGGACAGCTGGATGCAGCAAGAGCAGAATAGTGCCTGCAGTGAGCCCGAGAGATTAAGCTCTGGGTTCTGCAAATTAAGCCTGTCCCTATCAATCACCCAGCTTGGGAGCCTTGAGCTAGGCAACTGGGTCTCAGAGTGCTGCCACTACTGCAACACTCAATGCCTGCCCCGATGCGGCCCAAGCTGCCCACCCACACACCCCTGTCCTGCACTCCACAAGCGCTGCCAGGTCTCCCTGAAGGCCCCCACCAGACCTGGCGGTATCAACCACACCCCGACCTGCCAGCTCTCCCCTCAGGCCCCTACTCCCCAAGCTCTGGCAGTCTGACCCACAGGGTCCCCCCATCTCTGCTGGTGTCCCTCATTCTCACCCTGCAGACCCCTGCCTCCCCTAGCCCTGATGGAGGGGTCTCCCAGCTGCTTCCCACCCCCAGGCCTCAGCCCCTCAGTTCCTACTTACCCTAAAGGCTGCAGGAGGCAAAGCAAGTCTGAACCAGACTTGGCTGGTCTCAAATTCTCAGGACCCACCGCCTCCAGACAGGGCTTAGGGTTTCGCACCCTTTTTTCAAGCAGCTTGCTGCAGGCTGGGACTCCGCCAGCCTGCAGAGAGCTGTTTGTTATAGGGGAAACCTGTGGTTTCCCACTTCAAAAAGGGAAAACCTGCATTTTCCTTTTTCAAAGGGGAAAATGTGCACTTTTCTGCAGGAAACAGAAAACCCGAATCCCTGGTCATAACACTGTTAATCCACAAATGTAAACAAAGAAAAAATAGCTAATACTAAAGCTAGCAAAAAGACAAATGCTTTTTCAAGCAGAAGTGCTGAAAACAAATGTTATGTTTATACTACTTCCATAGTGCTATTGGGGAGGGACACACTCTTAAGTATGGCCCACCCACCACACCGACACTCGATCTGGAGATGTGGCAAAACTATTGAAGGGTTTCCCCCTCTACCTCAAACTGCTCTTGAAATACAGTAGATGCTCCCACAGAAACTTCGCCACATTTCCTGGTGCAGCAGCTATGCTCAAGAGCACTCCTTAAGAGTGCTCTGGAAGCAGTGTAGTAATGCCCTCTAGGTGTGGACATATTAGTAACTTTCCATGGCTGAAAGGAGAAAGGATTCTAAATCACACACTAAATGCTATGCAGTAATTGTCCACATGAACAGAAACTACATTGCAGTAGCTTACCCCATTTCACTTGACACCTAGGCTACAGTAATTTAAATGTCTACATGCTGCAGTGGCAAAGCATATACATGGGCAGTAACTTTAGAGCAGCTGACTTGACAAAGGATATGTCCCATTTTACTTGACAGGGAATTTTTTTTTAAGTTCATATCCCAATTCATCTTTAATTGTCCTAGCCCATGTTATTACAGATTTTTTTTTTCAGACAGCAGTCACCTGCAACACAAGACTGGTTATCATCCTTTTAAGGGGAAAATAGAGCAGGTCTTGCTTAGGTCTGTGTCCTTAGTTGCAAAATGGAAAACCTTGACAATCTGTGCACTGGAGTTTCACTAGAGAGCCAGTTTATATTAAAAACTAATATTAAAGAAAGGGGAATAATATATATAAAGCAAAGACCAAATCTTAATTTAAACCATTTCATATCCTGACACAGATTAAATGTTTAAGTAAAAAAAACTACAGAAGTTTCAGACACCTTCATATTTGAGCTGTCAAAAGAAGACAATTTTTTTTTTAAATTCATAGTATGTGCAAATCTCATTTTAGATGTCTTATTACCTTCATCAAGAGGTACTGCTGATTTAGTTTCAGATGTCAGAGTACCCATATCTTCAAAAGTTTTGGCCCCTGGGTTTTCTTGTTCCACCTCACACAAATATACATCAATAGGCCCCTTTGTGCTTTTTATGCGTACTTCTATGCAATTCTGCAAGACAAATATTAATATACATATAACATAAAAAAGTATATAGATGAAGCCAACCCCAGTTTACTTCCACATACTTGCAAAACTGCAGGAAGGACACTTATAGGGTTACCGGGTTGACTTTAACAGATCAGGCCATTTTAACAAACATTCAGTTCTTAATAAACTTGATGGCAACTACCTAGGTGACCCTATAAGTGAATGATTATCTAATCAATTGTTTTTATTTGTGTGCATGTGCACTCTTAAGCAGTAAGGTGTTTCATTTTGAGGGGTACCTACCTAATGACTCTTTGGGTGGGCATTTTGCAGGCCTTTACAGAAAGGCAATCACATTGTTTGGAACAGAGATAGCACAAGTGAGGAGTATAGGGTCAATAATTCTACAGTCAGAAAACCAGTGGGTTGTCACAAATGTTACTGTTAGCACAACAGTGCAAGTCAAATTAAGCAAGTTGGAGATATTAACTCCCACCATGATAGTATCAACAAGATAAGTCTTCTCTCTGTTTAGCTCTTGAAAGCTTAAGTCACCCCAGATATACTCCTCAATTAAACTTTTAGGCACAGACATCACAAAGAAGCATGTTTTGCATTTTTTTCCCCGATGGTCAAATTAATTGTAACAGAATAGAATATCTTTAGGAAAAACTGACATTAATTTTACAGCACGTTGTACTTAATAAACACGTGGTGATAGCAAAATTATTTTGCGTGTGTAAATGGATTATTCTTTTGCAATGTCTTGTTTTAAAGCTTCTGTTGTCTTAAAGGGATGAGTAGAAACATACCTCTTTAGGAGCTGGCACTTCCAGTTTAGTTTCTTCTGGAGCTTTGATTGCAATAACAATCTGTTCTTGAAAGGCCTGAATACTATGGATGTCTTGATATGTAACATAAGCTAGTGTATACCTTAGTCAAGGAGTTTGTATAGACTTTTTAAGTTACCAGAAAGAGGAAGTACTCTGTTAACATGTGTTGAAGCAGAAAACCCTATATGGTGCTCTTACATTCACATTCAGTTATACCTAGCAAAGAGTGCCAAAGCCAAAAGGATATTTTGCATTTTCTTTATCATCCGTTAATTCAAACAACTGGTGAGCGCAGTCCTTAATTAATTCATCAAGAGCTTCTTCCATGGCGGATAAGTCAGAAAGTTCATCTCTGAGTTTTTGTTGCTCTGGTGCCTTTCCAGCAACATGATCAAGGTCAGATCCTCTAAAAAAAATATGAGAATTATCAAGAACACTGTTTGAAGTTTTTGTTTCAATTTTATTTGTATACGTGAAATTTTCTAACTAAGAAAGAAGTGAATTTAAAGAATAGGTTTTTACTAGGAACCTCTATCTTGGCACTTCCATGACAGCTAGATGATGTTTCACAATTGCTTTGTTTCCTGGTATACTATGTTGAACTTTCATGTAAGCATATACTACCATATTTACTCAAATCCAAGGTTTTCCCCTCCCCGTGCAACATGGGGAAAAAAAACCGTCTTGCCTTGGATTCGAGTAAAAGGCAAGAGGTGGAGGTGGGGGCAGGCGCATGCAGTGGCCCCAACTCAGGATCAGGGTCAAAAGTTGCAGCTATAGCAGTTGCCTGCCCCCGCATCACCTCTGGCTCCCTCCCTGCCCTCCCACTGACCCTCCTTCAACCAGGGCCGGCACTAGCCCATGCTCTATGCTAGAAACAGCCCAGGGCCATGACTGACAATAAGCAACAGGGGAGCAGAGGCCAGGTGCTGATGGGGTGCAAGTGACAGAGAGTTCAGGCAATACAAGGATGGGGGAAGGTTGGTGGCACAAGGGGGAGGGGAGGGAAACAGGGGCCACAACTGGTGAAGAAGCAGGGGTCAGAACATTTGATCCCCACTGCCTACCTCCCTGTCACCACTTTCCACGCTATAGTGTGTGTGTGTGGGGCAGATTTAAGATGACCTTCCAACAATTATATTCTACATATGAAAAATTATTATAATTTTCTAAATTTTCCATACATAAGAATTCATTATTGGGGAGGCGGCATAAAATTAGGGTCATCTTAGATTTGGGTAAGAATGCTGTATGTTTATTTGAAAAAAGTATTGCAGAACTCTAGCAAAATTAAAGACGATATTCATTATTACTAGTCAAACATTATACAGTGTCTGTACTTTTTTCTTTTGCAGAAATTATAAGTTTCAGTGCCAACTCACACCCACTGGATAAGGTTCTTAGATCTTTTCTGTATAAGGTGAATTCCATCCAATACATTGGTGATGTCATATACTCTTCTTTTTCGCACTCCTAAAGTTGTTGCTACCTCATTCAAATCAAGTACACCATCTGGAGCAGTTTTTACAAGATCCATGAATTTTCGGGTCAAGTAAACTAGGGACGCATCAAAACGAGGCTTTGTGACTTTCAGAGTTTCTGTAAAGGAATGACACAAAATAATTTAGTATAAGGCAGTTCAGCTCAGTTTGAGGCATTTCCATACTTTTTGAAAAATATATTCATGAGAAGTGGTAGGTTAAGTACTGTAATTATCTACAGCAGGGGTGATCAAACATAAGTGCATGGGTCATATCTGGCCCGCAATGTCATAACATCTGCCCCATAGGGCTCCCCATGGGTCTGGAAATTTGGCAGTGGGGCAGTGGTGCACACATGGGAGCCCTGGACCCTGCATGCTCAACAGGGTGCCTGATTCCAGCATGCAGGGCCAGATGAGGATGGTACTGGGTCCCAGGGCCCAATCCCAGTGCACAGGGGCCAGCACAGGGCCCAAACCTGATGCACAGGGCAGGGACCAGGCAGCGATGGGCACTAAGGCCTAATCCAAGCCTCAGACCAGCCCTGTGCCACTCATTTGGCCCATTTGGTCAAAAGGTTGAGCACTACTGACCCACAACACGATACAGAACAAGTAGCAAAAAAAGGATATCTAATCGATGTGCCTTTAATTGCAGAAGTCATGTCTGGAAGAACAGAATGTACCTCCATGCCTTGAAGATCTTTACCTCAGACTGCCAACAAGAATATAAACTTACATGAAAATATTTCTTGTCACAACAGCAGCAGGTGCCCTCTTCTCCCCTCTTTGTGCCAATGACATGTTAGAGGGTGTTCTTAGCATTTTAGATACTGTGACTTGTAGCTGCATATAAGAATTTAAAAGGCCAATTTTGGGAACTCTGCATGTTATCAACTGCCTGTGAATGCAGGGGATTCCAGAAAACCCTTTTAGGCCCTGTGCTCCTATAAGTTAGGTACAAATGAAACTCAGAAAAGTAAAAATTTCACTGGTAGGCCAGAGATTTGTTTCTGTTCCAAGGCAGTAAACTAGAGATTAAAGCCAGTGTCCAGTGCTAACTACCTAGAAGAGTCATCTGGTTCCCCAAGCTTACCAACTACAATACAGCACATTCTACTTTACTGCATATCAGTTATTCCCGTATTTCATACTTTTCAGTAGTACAAAATACAATTAATTTCAACCAGCTCCTCGCTTATTGATTTTTAGCCTGCTTCAGTTTTTCCATAAGCTGAAACTAGAAAAAAGAGTGCTGAGGGTTAGTTAATGAAATAAGACAAAGACTGAACAATCCATGGAAAGAAACTTTTTTGTAATCTGGCAAATAATGCATAGCTTTTTGAAGCATATTTAACATGCTTTCTGTCATTAACCACCTTTAATAATTCATTTAACAGCCTGTACAAGATAAAGAGAACTAATTTGCTACTCATGGAATTTTCTTTTCATTATTCACATACATGGACAAATATAAGGGAATAATGGTTGAACAGCTATTGCTATAATTTTCAATTTATGTACTAGTCTTTAAGAACTCTCTCTCAGGCAACCCACAGGTAGTGTCCTGCTATGATAAGAAACTTCGTTACTCATTTCAGTGTTTTTTCTTTAATTATTTTTTCTTATTCAACTTACCAGCCAATTCTGCTTATGTGCAAGAAGACAAGGGAGGAGAAACTGGCGGAAGTAAGTCATGCTCTTTGGAAGAAGTTCCCTTGCACTGTACTGTCCATGCAATTTATTTATTTTTTGCTGAGGGCAGGGAGGTGGGGAGGGAAAAGGAGAGACTAAATTCATGTGCAGTTGTGAGTTCTGACTTAAAAGACACTGCTTACCCAAGAACCAGAAATCTTAACAACCAAGCAAATTAACGTTTGTAGAAATATTGCTCAGATATAGCCAAGTCAATCTTTAACCTTAAAATCGCGTGTTTGAGCAAATTCATGCATCAGTTTAAGTATCTTAGATGCTAAAGATGCAGTATTCCAGGATACAACACCCCCCCCTAAAATTCTGAAGACTGAAACACAATGAAAGATTGCTCCGTACTCTTATGCTATGATCAGTAATTCCTGTCTTAATCCTTGCAATTTTACTTAAGTGGGTATTATTTGGATGTAAAATATCAGACAACACAATTCAAATATTGCATGCTTTAGAAATTTGCATTATAAGATGCACACTGACCTATGAAGTGTAATGCATCAAAACATTTACCACACCCTTTCCATTAACAATCTAAATGCCTAACCTTAATACTTGAATCCATGTAGGCAGACACACACCAAGTTCAAACAAGTTTTTATGAGCCCATAAATTTTCCTGCAAAGATCCCACTGCAAGATTCTAATGTTATATGGAATCAAGAACTACCTCATCCATTCATCTATGTAACAATCTACAGCTGTACCATACAGCCAAAAAACACCTGAAATTCCATTAAAAACTATAAACTAAATAATTCCTTGGCTTATTCTCTGCATCCCATTGACTTCACAGTAATCACAGAAAGTGTAATTCACATTTAAAAAGTACATTATTAAACTATCTGAGTCTGCTCTTGGGTATCTGTACATTTATTTGACTTAATCTTAAAACGACATATAAATTAGTTCAGGATTGACAAAACACTCTCCATCACTTCTTCATAAATAAAATAGGTAGTGTAAGTAGCATTAAAGAAGCGGACATAGAATCACTGGATCAAATTAAGCTTCCTAGTTAATTTTTCAATTGGCATTTTATATTGTTACTCACAAGATGGTTTGAGATCATGTCGTATTGAACAGTTACTACCAATGTCTTCTATTCCTTTTTCTGCTATGGCCTGTAACCCTGTGTCCTTGACCCATGCCAGCAGGACTCTACAACTCCTCTAAAACTCTCTTCTTTGGCCAATTAACCACGCACATGCCTGCACCCCCATTACTACAAGTAGAATGGAAAAAGGAAAAAAAATGACAGTGGACCATATTAATAATTATGCTTGTTCCTTAATTTACTGTGCATCTCTCTTTGTTTTGAACAGATTACAAATAAATAAAAAATTTTCACATATGGTGCTTTATAAATATATGAAATACTCATTTATTCATACAGAAAAAAGGAAAACCTTTAGACTTAGAGATTGGGGACTTACTTCTTACAGTCACAATTTGTACATCATCTTCCACATTAAGCCTGATCTTTTGTGGCTGGAAAGAAAAAGGATTGACAATTTAACAAAAAAGGTCATTTAAGCAAGGGAAAAAAAAGAAAAACTCAGCACAACTTACTAGGTAAGATGCCATTTGATTCACAGAAGCCAGCAGAGTTAACATACTGGCATTCAGATGGCACCAAAAAGTGTTCATATCTAATCAAACACGTGTTTACTAGAAACTGAAAACCTCACCAGGGATTAACCCCCAGCACCCAGTCGGGATCCCCACACCCTGGAAGATGGGCAAAGGCTTCTTTCCTTCTACCTGTATCCCTGGCTGACTTCTTGATGGGGCAGAAGGTAAAAAGAGGTCAGGGTCATGGAGGGCCCACAACACATTCATACGAAAGCTAGATAGCAGCCAGCTCTACAGGCCTTACACATTTTCAAGCACTAACTTTCTAGCCAGTCGGCTCTTTTTATAGCCAGAAACCCATTTCACTTGTTGAAGTCATGTTTCATTAAACACAAACTAGGTGTGGACAGACATAATGGCAGCATGAGGAGTTTGACACAGACTGGCAGACTGTGCTAAGCCAGAGGTTCCCAACCCCTGGGCCGCAGCCCAGTACCCAGTCGTGAAGGGTTGCCTGCTGGTTCACAGCAAGCTGGTCACTTCCAGACTGCAGTTTGCCAGTCAGCAAAATAAAAAGGTTGGGAAGCCCGGGGATAAGCTGCCCAACCGTTAGCCTTAAGGATGGGTAACTGGTGCCTCCCAAATCTGGGGGGGGGGGCACCAGATCCCCAGCAGGGGGCTGACCCCAGATCTGCACTTCTGGTTTCACAGCTTGAGCTCCCAGGAGGTGCACCGCAGATCTCAGGGGGCGCATGTGCACCCAAGTGCACTCCCTACACGTCACCAACGGCCTTCAGATACACTCAGGCCCCTACTACATGTTACACAAGTGACTGGTCAACCACACCACACATTTTGACCAACACAATAAATTTACACTGCTCCATCCCTCGGCATGGCTCGCAGAGGGGACCCTCTGGGGCAGGTGGAAAGGCGGAGGCTACAGGTGTGCAATGCAATAGTCACACAACTGGTGAACGGTGAGATGAATTTTAATGCAAAATAAGACCAGAAGCCTGTGCAACGTCAATGTCATCGCCCAAGGCAAGGAGCTGGTGACTCGCAGTACACATTCAGACCCACCACACCTGCACCGCAAGGCCTGTGGGGCTAGGAGCCGACCCCTACGAAGTTGGGGCTCCAACATGCGGCGAAGCTGCGGCCTCCAGCTTTCGTGAGCGTAACCGCGCTCCCTGCTCTCGCGGCCGCGGTCCCCGCTCGCTCGCCCACCCGCCCCACCTGCCCGGGGCCGAGGCCGGGGCCCACGGGAGCAGCATGGGGGGCGGGGCGGAGGCGTCCCGGGGGCTCCCGCCCGCTCACCCTCATCGTGTCCGG